TTTTTGTTTTTTTTCTAGGACATTTGGGCTTATAAACACTCCTCAGTGAGATGCCCAGCAAGGTCATCTCTAGTACTCACTGGAAACATATTGAAAGGGTTTGAAAATACCATAGGATCCCTCACAATATGTCAAAAGAATGACTTCTTAGAGCAGAAATTGGCCTGCTGGTTACTGGCTGGCTGCCTTTCCTACTGTTGTTCGCCAACTATAATCATCAGGACCCAGGCAAGACCTGGGAACTGAGTGGCAGATTCCAGGCGTTCCTCATACCACATACAGCCAGGGTCTCTTCCTCTTACTCAGGCCAGCAAGAGACTGGTCCTTCGAGAGACCTAACAAAGGCCTGACTCTTCACTAATTACTCTAGGTCAGTCATTTCTGGTGGTGAGTTGAGCATTTTTATATTTATTTTGGTAGATCACATATTATGGAGAGAATGTTTAAATGCACAAACTTCACAATACTGACTAGCTTTCCAAATTAAATTTTAGTTTAATCAATGTCTGTTTCAAAAGCATCACTTGGAGCTATATAATGGTGCAGGCCTGGAATCCCAGCTCTTGGGAGGCTGAGGTAGGAAGATCAACAGCTCAAGGCAAGCCTGCACTAAATATGAATACCCTGTCTCAAAGAACAAAAACAAATAACAGCAACAACCACAAGAGTACTTGGAAAAAGTCTCCTGAAAAGGCAGCATTGATGGCTTCCTAATTTCTCCCTCACATAGCACTAAACATGCACCCCAATCTGCATGCGCAAGCCCAGCTTTCAAGAAGCTTGAAGTCAGCACAGTAGTCCTCCAAGCCTCCAGAAAAATATCACCAAGTCTCAGCTTAGTACCTATGTACCATTCTTGCAGAGCCCAGTTCTCATTTTTTAAAAGATTTTCTTTTCAAAATTTTGTGTCTGTGTGTGGGTATGTACATGTATGTGCAGGTGCCCATGAAGGCCAGAAAGCGATTTGGCTCTCCTGGAGCTGGTATTACAGACTGTTGTCAGCCACCATCTTGAGTGCTAGGAACCATACCCAGGTCCTCTGCAAGAGCAAGTGCTCTTAACTGCTGAGCCATTGCTCCAGCCCCTCTTCTTAATTTTAGGCTCAGTTCTAACCATATAAACATTCAATGCTGGAAGCCACAATTTACAAAAGAGGTGTTCTGACTGCTCTAAGTAGTCACCATAGCAGCAGCAGCAAGTCTGACACCAGGCAAGAGATGGAAAACTACTTACACAATGAGGGGAAGAGGGCTGACTTACCAGCGAAAAATAAATAGCAGCCTGAGCCATTTGATGTGGGAACAAAGGGCTTCCCTGTGCCCCAGAGCATCTCCATGACACAGGACAATAAGAACTCAATATAATAGAAGAGTTACGATCGATCGAGTGTATGTAGCAGCTAAAGCAGCAAGATTCAATATAACAGAGGCTGGAGAGATGGCTCAGCAGTTAAGAGCACTGACTGCTCTTGCAAAGGACCCGGGTTCGATTCCCAGCACCCACATGTGGCTAACAATCATCTTTAACTCCAGTTCCAGGGGACCCGATACCCTCTTCTGACCCTGCAAGCATGGCATGCACATGGTGCACTTACATATATGCCCACAAAACACTCATACACATAAAATAAAAAATAGATTTTTAAAAAAGTTAAAGGCTCAATATAACAGAACCCTGAAGCGTCAGAGTTGAGAGATCTTTAGGAAAACATCTCATATACTTTTATTTTACAAGCAAGCATACTGAATAGAAGGGGTGGCGCTGACACAAGAGTCCAGTGTCGCTTCTGCTGAGCTCCTTCTGTAGGGACTCCTCTCTCCTGAAGCACTTGGAGGGGAAGAACATAGCCATCCCATTGACTTATTTGTCATCTCGCCGTTGACATTTCTGCTCTGCTTCCTTGCATTGATTTCATTCCCTTCAAAGGAAAAGAAAGTCCCTGAATCATGAATGGAAGATGCGAAGGAGAAGTAAAGGCAAAAGTAATTAGCATTACAAGTTCTACACAGGGAGCTAGAAAAAAAGTCAGAACAGGGCAATTTTCAAATTATTTATCTATTCTTTGAGCATCCCATACATGTATGTATTTTGATCATATCCCCCTCTCCAACTTCTACCAGGCTCTCCCATGTCTCCCTCCCAAATTCATCTCCTCTCTCTCTCTCTCTCTCTCTCTCTCTCTCTCTCTCTCTCT